AAACTCACTGCTGTTATTTCCAGTTCTTAGTGACCCCTCCTGGGGTTCTGATGTAGATAGAACACATTATAAAAGAAAGATACTGTATGCATTGAATGTGCATTCTCTGGTTTGCACGTTTGCACTCTTTCTTGGTTAAACATTATTAAATTTGGTTACTTGTGTGCTCATTTGTTCATGATAGAGGTTAACATGGAACCTAATAATTTAGCTGGAAAATTCCAGCCAGACAAATATGCAAGTATAATTCAATTCAGTCAAATCAGTCTCAAGCAGTTCAGGTCACCCAGCACTTATCAGTGCTCATAATGTAGCAAGCCCTGTGCTGGGTATTTTACATATATTGTATCTAATCAGAGATGGCCTTCAACTTATTCAGAGAACTACCAGACAGCCAAGGAGTTTCACGAATTAGATTTGCAAATGTGCCTTTAATTGAGGAGGACATATAAAGGTGAATTTGGGATTATTGGCAAATTCCTTGGGTAGCTGGATTAAGGCAAATCAGTCAGTCAGAGGTAAATGTGGCTCTTGGTTTTCCCTCAGAGAATGTAACTCCAGAAACTATGAGCATCCAAGAAAGAAACAGTTTTACAAGCTAAGGATTGTACCAGTCTTTTAGGATACATTTGGACAGGCTCAGTTTTGACTTTGAAGCAGACACATTTCTTTTTCTTCTAAGACAACTGCTATCTCGGGGATAAGTCTTTGTAAAAAAAAATAAGAGGGTAATACTTACAGGGAGAACTATTTAAGGAGTAAGGTTTTCAGTAACAAGTTTTGCTACTGGTTTTATTATTTGTTGAACACTTTGAGCCCAGAAGGCAATAGTTGGGTCTTCTACACCTGATGAACAGGTCTGCAAGGTTTGTATCTTTAACCAGCACGATATGGAAATGTGCAAGCACTCAACTCTTTAATAGCACTTTTTGACAAATAGTTTTATTTTGCATCTGAAATAGTGACTACCTACAAAGTCTGCATTGCCCAGTGTCAAAACAAGAAATACTACCAGCATAAATTATTTAAAATGTAGATGACAAGATTATGAATCGGATGCTCAGGCCTACTTAGTTAGTCTATTCATGATCCAAGTCAATAAATAAAACAGCTAGCCCTTCTGAATAATAAGTGCACACTTGGGAAACACTTGGAGTTTTTCATATCCACTCTGGACACTTAAAAAAATCAATCAACAAACAGTGATTAAGATGTTGCTTTGCATCATGCTAGCTAATTTTAAAAACTAATTTGAGCACTAATTTTAGCACATAGTTTAACATTCACCCACTTCCTCTTCTGAGAAGCAACCACTGCTTCAGAGATGTTCTGATTCTATACAGAAAGTATGGGTGTATTTGTGTTTGCATTTTTTCCCTTTGTTTTAATGGTCTCATTGGCTATTCTGCACTTAATTTTTTTTCCCCCAGTTATTATACTTGGGAAATTGTTCCATTTAGTACTGAAAGCTAAGTCATTCATTTTAATGACTGCATAATAGTCTGCTGAACGGATGTGTTGTAACACATTTAACGAACATCCTCCCGGTAGCTGTTTGGGTTGATCCCAATCTTTGACTTTCATAGACAAGGCTACAGAATGTGTCCTTGCATGTGGAATGTGAGGTTCTCAGTATGGGATACATTCCTAAAATGGAACAGCTAGAACAGAGAGTATGTGCATTTTAAAACTGGATATTGCCAACATTTTATAGCAGTGTTTTAAAATATGGCTCTTTATGTCCCAGTAAGTTGGTTCTCATTATTTCAGTCTGTCATCTTCAACTGTACATTTGTACTTGGGGTGATAGATTATGTGTCAAAAATAAAACAAATTGGTTGCATGGCTGATAAAAATCTAATGAAATTCAAATGATAGATTGTTAGAAATGTCAAGAATATTTAAAATTAAGGGCCAACAGAAATCAGGCTTGTATGTGTAAGAATATATGACTGCTTGGGAAACAAACGTATGTCTTTTCCAGTATCTAATTCAATGATTGGGGCTGCCATATTATAAACAATGAATGATTTTATAAGTGGGAAAACCATGTGAACAAAGAACCTTCTCTAATGAAAACCTGTACCACTCAGCATTGGGCTAGGATGATAAAGTCTCCTTTGCTTGTCAGGAATAAAATGTCTACATTACAGTAACACTGAAACAAAAGCTCTATTTAACAGGGATGTGCTTGGGTCTACCATAAACATGGTAGAGGGGCTGTGTAACCACAAGTCAAATCTGAAAAGAGGCTGAAATGATTTGCCTAGGCTCAGGAGAAAACCATTTGCAGAGAACAAGGACGCACAAACACAATCTGAGCTGCGTATTTCCAGTGTCAGAGTTCCTGGGACTTCTGAAGGATGCAAAGCCGCACATGATCAATAGCACTTCCATCTTAACTTCAGTAGACGGTTCTGCATATTTTGGTTACATTCTGGTCAGACAGATTTTTCCATATGATGTCAATAAAGGAGCCCTGGTGGCACAGTGGTTTAGCAATCGGCTGCTAACCAAAAGGTTGGCAGTTCAAACCCACCAGCCCCTCCATAGGAGAAAGATGTGGCAGTCTGCTTCCATAAAGATTACAGCCTTGGAAACCATGTGGGGCAGTTCTACTCTGTCCTTCAGGCAATGGAATTCATTCAATGGCAATGGGTTTGGGTTTCTTTTTTGGTTATTAATAAGCATCCTTGTCATACACTCTGGTAAGTAATAATCTGACCATAAAAATAAGCTCCTCTTGCTTATTTTTGGGAAAAAAAGGTTAATTTAGATTTCAGGTAAATACTTTGGGTATCCAGGATTTCTGAAAAGTGCTCCAAGCCTTAGCATAACCCTTATCCTAGTAGAGATTAATTAGAAGGAAGTAATGAGTATTAAAAATATTTTACTGCCTTGGGATAAGAGAAGAGTTAAAGGAGATACCTCAGGAAAACAAAAAGTCACTCTTGATGCCACCGCTACAGAGAATCACCTAACACCTCCTTCCCTGCCTTGTCTTCGATCTTTATTGTTTTAAGTGTCTGTCTGTACCTGGCTGTAAGTATGATTGGAAAAGTCTAGGTTCTGTTTTACCTGCTTTTTGCATATTGTGAGTAGCTTTACATGACTAAACATTCTTCAATATTTTAAACAGAGTGTAATGGTTCATCAAGCCAATATTTTATAAATTATTTACCCCCCCCCCCCCACACACACAGTGTTAAGATACTAAGGCTTACTTGTTTGTTTATTTATTGCTATTGTCTCTGATCCTTCAGGGAGTATCCTTTGTACCTACATTCTTTCCTTATCAGTCCTCAGGATAAATTCCCAGGAGTGGAATGACAGGTCAAAGAGTATGGGTTTATCAGGCACTTGATGCCTAGTGCCAAGAATATGTTTCCTATAGGCTAAGCTCATGCAGGGTGGCACCTTCGATGAGTTTCCAGGTGACGCAGGGAAGTGCCCATGTGTGAAATCACCCAGATAGGCCATCTTAGGGGTTGTGGCTTTATACACATGCCTGGAAATAAAACCGATTCAACCAGAACACTATGCACTAGGTGGACCACTTCCTGGAATTATTTTGCATAGCTCTTGACTTACCTGTAAGGCATTTAAATTCTTTCTCTGCAGCCCCCTCCAAACACTCAAGCTGGGGTGAGTTAATGTTATAGTCACATACATACATCACTCATTTGACACTGAATTATTTTTTATTCTTTGTAACTCCATCAGCTGTTTCATCCATACGAATCAATTGAAAGTTCCCACATTCACATTCTTTTAAATATAATTGTTAAGTGTCAGGTATTGTGCCAGGCACTTGACGACTATTATCACATTTAATTATCACAACTACCCAGCAAAGTAGGTTATTTTCTATTTTTAATGATAAGGAGTTGAAGCTCAGCATTTAAACAGAATTGCAGTTGGTAGGTGCTCAGTAAATATTTATTGATGGATGGGCTCCAAAAGAATGAGTGGCCAGGAGATTCTGTGTGTAAGCACGGAGCTGGTAAGGTGCCATTTCTGGGGTGGCACCACGAATTATGTGCAGCAGCTACTCTTCTGTCAGCTAAACACGATGGAATTCATGGTGCCTCTTGCCCTCCCAAATGCCTGAATTATCAATGAAACCAGCAGGGACCTTTAAGAGGTCTTCACTATTACTAAACATGGGGCATTATGTTAGAGAACAAGTTATATGGGTTCTTAATAGGGATTATAAAGAGAGAGAAAGTTTCTGGTGAGTCTACAGATTTCATAGTTGAAAATGTACTGGCCCTTTTTATCCTATTGCCACAGAGGCTATACTAAAAATGACACTAAAATGAATTCCCATAGATTTTCTTAAAAGGTGGTAAAGGAGCAATTTCATTAAGAATGAAAACTAAAGCTCTGAATCCTTTATAGTATTTAACAAAAAATAACTGTCCACAACAATATTCTCTTAAACATTTCACTCCTGAAATGATGGTAGAGAGTTTACGAAAGCTTTAAAAAATTAGACAATGTATAGTATTCCTTGGGAGCTCCGGTGGTATAGTGCCTAAGGCACTTGACTGCTAACTAGAAGGCTGGAGGTTCAAACCTACCAGCCACTCCTCGGAAGGAAGGTTGGGCAATCTATTTCCATAGTGATACCGTCTCGGAAACCCAAGGAGGGGTCGCTATGAGTGGGGTCTGACTTGACAGCAGTGAGTTTGGTTTGGTTTGGTTTATTTGTATTTATATCCCTAGCTCTTAGCACAGTTCTTAGCATGTAATAGATAATCAAGAGATGTTTAGGGAAAAAAATACAGTAGCTAAAGTACCCAGAATATGCTTTTGATTTTAAATTCTATGATGTTTGTCTTAGGGCTCAACATGGTAAAAATGTTCCTGGTGACCTCTGCGTGCAAAGGAGCAGGCTGTGATATGCTTACCTTCTGCATTGACAACCATAGTTCCAATAACCCCTTTATGGCTCTGAATCCTCTTTAAGGTTTCCTCCACTTCTGTCTGGAAGAGATCAAGAAGGTAATTAACCAAAAGGGTCTTTGTGTGACGCCAATCTCAAACAGAATAATATTTAGAAAGACACCCACTCTTCTATCTCCCTGACCTAAAGTACTGGATGCAGTTGTAGGTTTTTGGATGAGAGCTTTGAAATGGTCACGTCCCACATGCAAGGCCATATAAGACTCTGTGGCATACAACCCCAAGAAATCTCCTGCCTTGAACCCTTACTGCCTCACAAGAGCTCTTTCCATTTTTATCACTCTTTCCCTTTTCCCTTCCTTCCATCTACTGCAATTTTCTATAAAAATCTTCTTCATGCTGAACAGAAAACTTTTCCTGGACATCTTTCATTCACTGTTCATAGGTTTTCTTTCTGGACCCATATGGCAAATTCCTATTTTACATTATAGTCCTTTACTATTGAGAGAGCAATATTACAGGCACCCTCTGTCTATCCCTTCATGAGAAATCCTATTCTCAGTCCCAAACGTTACCTAATTGGGTGTCAGATGGTAAATTTACAAAAGGATATTCTATAGAAATGTAACCATAGTTTGGGTCTCAGAGCAAGCTGAACATTCAACCATGAATGATCATGTTGGAACCCCATTCAGCTTTCTGAGTGAATCTTATGCACAGACTCACTTGTACCAGCTTTTTTTCCCTTCAGATCTAGAGATGTCACAATCAAGAGTCATCTTTTCCACACCTGCGTTTTGTTCATGATTGAGTCATCACTAGATCGGCTGAATTCAAGCCACAGGCTGCAGAGTTCCTCGATGAGAGCTGGTGACACGTACTTTTTCTTTCCTGTTTGTCTGATTTTTATTATTACAAATGGAAAAACAAAAGTACCATTTTTACTCAATACATAGCATTTGCTCTTTATGTAGTTTTGTTGCAGAAAGTGAAGTCCGTGATTTTAGAATGATGACGGCTATCTATTAACAAAGTTGTAGTTCTCATACAGTTTCTGTAATTGCAGCAATTTCTTTGAACTGTCTGTAGAAACTGTGCAACTGTGGTATTGTCATCTCAAGGGACTTGTTCTTTATTTGGTCCGAATGATCTGCCACTTATAGCATCACTGCAACATAAGGATACTTGAGAGATCTGCCACTGTCCGAGCTCGCAGCCATACCCAGCTTCCACTGAGAATCTACAAGCTGGTTGGTGACCCCGGACTTGGCATCCAGCAATGGTTCACTGACCCCTCCATGTCAAAAGACTAGAGGTAACTTCTTGGACTCAGGTGGATACCCCAGTATGTATTTTTTTTCTTTAAACGTCACACAGGTGAACATTATGGTACATTAGTCAAAAGACAGTTTTGTTTGGCATGAAATGTGAGAACAATCACTGCTTTTCCCTGTTGTTAAGTGCCATCGAGTCATTTCCAACTCATAGTGACCCTATGCACAGCAGAACGAAACACCTCCCGGTCCTGAGCCAGCTCCACAATTCTTGCTACACTCCAACCGACTGCTTGCTGCCACCTTGTCAATCCACCTTGTTGAGGACCTTCCCCTCTTTTGTCGACCCTCCAATTTACCAAGCATGACATCCTTCTCCAGGGAGTAGTCCTTTCTGACAACGTACCCAAAGTGTGTGAGACGAAGTCTGGCCGTTCTCACCTCCAAGGAGCATTCTGGCTGCACTTCTCCAGGACAGACCTGTTAGTTCTTTTAGCAGTCCACAGTACTTTCAGCATTCTTTGCCAACACCACAGCTCAAAAGCATCAGTTCTTCAGTTTTCCTTATTCACTGTCCAGCTCTCACATGTATAGGAGGTGACTGAAAATACCATGGCTTGTGTCAGGCTTACCATAGTCCTCAAGGAGACATCTTTGCTCTTCAGCACTTGAAAGAGGTCCTTTGCAGCCGATTTGCCCAGTGCTATATGTTGCCTGGTAGCATAGTGCCTAAGGTACTTGACTGCTAACCAGAAGGTTCACGGTTCAAACCCACCAGCCACTCCTCGGAAGGGAGGTTGGGCAATCTACTTCCATAGTGACACTGCCTCGGAAACCCAAGGAGGGGTTGCTATGAGTTGGGGCCGACGTGACGGCACATAACAACAACATACGTCATCTGATGTCCTGACTGCTGCTTCCATTGGCGTTGACTGTAGACCCAAGCAATGTGAAGTCTTTGACAATTTCAATCTTTTCTCCATTTATCGTAATGCTGTATATAGGTCCAGTTGTGAAGATTTTTGTTTTCTTTATATTGAGATGTAATCCATAATCCAGATTGTGTTCTTCAGTCTTCATCAGTAAGTAATTCAAGTCATCCTCATTTTCAGCAAGCAAAGTTATGTCGTCAGCATATCACATGTTCTTAATGTTCTTCCTCCAATCCTGATGCCATGTTCTTCTTCATACAGTCCAGCTTCTCGGATTATTTGCTCAGCATACAGATTGAATAAGTATGGTGAAAAGATACAACCCTGACCCACTCCCTTCTTGATTTTAAACCATGCAGTGTTCCCTTTTTCTGTTTGAACAGCAGCCTCCTGGTCTATGTACAGGTTCTTCATAAGTACAATTAAATCTTCTGGAATTCCCATTCTTCTCAATGTTATCCACAATTTGTTATGATCCACACAATCAAATGTTTTTGCATAGTCAATAGAACACAAGTAAACATCTTTCTGGTCTTCTTTACTTTGAGCCAAGATCCATCTGACATCGGCAATGATATCCCTCATTCCACATCCTCTTCTGAATGCAGCCATCACCTCTGGAAGTTCTCTCTGTCAATCCACTGCTGCAACCATTTTTCAATTACCTTCAGCAAGATTTTACTTGCGTGTGATATTAATGATATTGTTTGATAATTTCCACATTCTGTGGGATCACTTTTCTTTGGAATGGGTACAAATGTGGATCTCTTCCAGTCAGTTGGCCAGGTAGCTGTTTTCCAAATCTCTTGGTATAACTGAGTGAGTGCTTCCAGCGGGGCATCCATATGTTGAAACATCTCAGTGGGTATTCCATCAATTCCTGGAGCCTTGTTCTTTGCCAATTCCCTCAGCACAGCTTCAACCTCTTCCCTCAATACCACTGGTTCTTGCATATATGCCACCTCCTGAAATGGATGAAGATCCACCAGTTCTCTTTGGTACAGTGACTCTGTATTCCTTCCATCTTCTTTTGATGCTTACTGCATCATTTAATATTTTGTCCTTAGAATCTTTCAATATTGCAACTTGAGGCTTAAATTTTTTCTCAGTCGTTTCAGCTTGAGAAATGCCAAGGGTGTTATTTCCTTTTGGTTTTCTAACTCCAGGTCTTTGCACGTTTCATTATAGTAATTGGCTTTGTCTGCTCAAACTGCTCTTTGAAATCTTCTGTTCAGCTCTTTTATCTTGTCATGTTTTCCATTTGCTTTAGTTACTCTTCACTCAAGGGCAAGTTTCCGAGTCTCTTCTGACATCCATTTTGGTCCTTTCTTTCTTTCTCATTTTTAATGACCTCCTGCTTTCTTCATGGATGATGCTCTTGATGTCATCCCACAATTCTTCTGGTATTCGGTCATTGGTGTTCAGTGCATCAAATCTATTCTTTAGATAGTCTCTAAATTCAGGAGAGATATATTCAGGATCATATTTTAGCTCTCGTGGACTTGTTTTAATTGTCTTCAAGTGGAACTTGCATATGAGCAGTTGATGGTCTGTTCCACAGTCAGCTCCTGGCCTTGTTTTGGCTGAAGATATTGAGCTTTTCCATCACCTCTTGCCACCGATGTAGTCAATCTGATTCCTGTGTACTCTGTCCGGTGAAGTCCACGTGTATAGCTGCCGTTTGTGTTGTTGAAAAAAGGTATTTCCAATGAATAAGTCATTGGTCTTGCAAAATTCTATCATGAGACCTCCAGCATTATTTCTGTCACCAAGGGCAAATTTTCCAATTACTGGTGATTCTTCTTTGTTTCCAACTTTTTCATTCCAGTCACCAGTGGTAAGTAACACATCTTGATTGCATGTTCGGTCAATTTCAGACTGCAGAAGTTGATAAAATTCTTCAATTTCCTTATCTTTTGCTTTGGTGGTTGGTGCATAAATTTGAATAATAGTCGTATTAACTGGTCTTCCTTGTAGGCGTATGAATATTATCCTATCACTGACAGTATTGTACTTCGGGACAGGTCTTGAAACACCTTTTGTGATGATGAATGCCACGTCATTCCTCTTCAGTTTGTCATTCCGGCATAGTAGATCATATGGTTGTCTTATTCACAATGGCCAAAACCAGTCCATTTCAGCTCACTAATGCCAAGGATATCGATCTTTATGTGTTCTATTTCATTTTTTACAACTTCCAATTTTCCTAGATTCATACTTCATACATTCTATGTTCTGATTATTAATGGATGTTACCGCTGTTTCTCCTCAATTTGAGTCATGCCACGTCAGGACATGGAGGTCCTGAAAGGCTTACTTTATCCATACCTTTAAGGTTGGTTCTACTCTAATGAGGCAGCTCTGTCCCAGTCGTATTTTGAGTGCCTTCCAACCCAAGGGGCTTATGAATAGCAGAGAAACACTGTCTGATACATTATTGGGCAACTTTATGAGTAGCTTGGAAACACTGTCCGACACAGTGCAGGAAGACTAGTCCTTCCCAGCATACCAGATGTTTTCTGCATTTCAGACTTCCATGTACTAAATTCACGACTTTTGCCATTCTCAGTTTTCTTTCCATTATCTCACTTATCAAAACTTAAATAAGTGCATTTTAAAATGAAAGTATACAGTGCCGCCATCAATGGAGAACTGGTCTCCTATCATAAATATAAGTAAATGTAAAACAGTACAGAGGACAGGACGCATGATTACATTCTGTCCCCCCGAAGGCTCTTAGCTTGCAGTCTGCTCTCCAAGTGAAAAATGGACACTAGCAAATGATAGTGGCATTAAGGACTAATAGTGTCAGAAACTAGGTGCTGGATCTAATCAAAGACTGAGGGTGGAGTGGTGCGGATGGGAAAAGAATAACCCTCTCACAGTCGTTCACTGTGTTCTTTGGTAATCCTGGGCCATTGTATGCAGCCACTGAGGTTGGCATCTCACCTTGGGAAACACATGGCAACTAGGGTGTAGTAGTTGTACACGGAGTCAGTCCTTTTACACTTTCTGCGATGAAGATGCCCACAGTTCATTACAACCACTGGCCTCTTTTTTTCCTCTTACTTCCTCACAAACTCCTCTCCCTGCCCTTCCCCCTCTCCTAGGTGACTCCTAACTCCTCCCAGTACAGTCTCCCACTCTCCATGTCCACCCTTTTCATCGCTCTCACCCGGCAGCTCCTTTGCTGTCAGAAGTTGCCCAGGCTCTGTTCTTTCTTTCCGTCGCTCTCTCCTCTCTTCCTTCCACACGCTCACCTACCACCCTCCTCGCTCCCTTCGTCCCTGCGGGCCTCGCTCTCCCCTGGAGTGCCCGTGCTTCTCTCGCGCTATTTCCTCCTCTTCTCTCTGGGGCTCCCCCTCTCCCAGCTCTTCCTTCCCTCTCGGGATTCTCGCCCTCTCTCCCCTCCGCTTTTCAAACTCTCCTTTCTCTGGAGCTCGCTTGTCCCTCCCAGGATCTTCCGTCCCCTCGAGATCCTCTGCCTCCTACTCCCAGGCACCCTCCGACAGACCATCTCTTCGGAATCTCCCCTCTCGTGTCTATCCCCCAGAAAGCTTCGCCCCTCCAGTCGGTCAGTGCCCCTGAAGGGCGGGTCGCAGGCGGAGATCCCGAATTTACCATGGCGTTGGCGGCAGGAGCCTTCGCTCAGTCCGGCGCCACTGCTGCAAGAGATGTCAACAAAGCTTCCAGCCGTTGCTAGGAAACGGAAAGAAGTGACCTCCCGGGAGCGTCGGTGCCGCGCCTGCGTACTCGCGGACCAGGCAGCATGCAGGGGGCGGCTCTTCCGCCCTGACTCCTGCGCCGACCTTCCCAGCCGCCGTAGGCAAAGGTGGGGTGGGAGCGCGACGGGCGCTCTTCTGAGGCTCTGCCAGGCCCGGGTGCTGAGCTGAAGAGGGAAGGCAGCTTAGGCCAGGCTCTCGCTTCTGGTGCGTTCATTGCTTCCTTTAGGCGTGCGTTAGTGGCATCCACTCACTCCAAAACTAGTTATTGAGCACCGCCAAATCCTGGCCCTGAGGCCTGGGCCCATTTTAGCGCGAGAGCTGGACTGTATACAACAAGCGGAACAGTAATTTCTGTTAAAAACGAAGGTTTCGGTAAAGTAAGAGTTTTATTCAGAGCCAAAGATTTGCGAATCGGGAAGCGCAAAACTGAAATTTCAAAATGATGTTGCGAAGAGGGAACATAAGCACACGTCGGTCACACTCAATTCTGTGGAATTCTGGGAAGAGCTGGGGTGGTGGGGTCCATGGGATTGGCTGACGTTCAGCGTGGGCTCCTGTATCAAGACTTTCATTTGGCTGGGGTGCTCAACCTTAGCCTCGGTTTCCTGTGTTCCAGAGCTGGTTCCTATAACAGCCTGGACGGGCCATTTCAGAATGTTGCAGAGCAGGCTATCTGGGTCCAAGGTGTGGTCCCGACGTATTCTAAAAAGCAGAAGCTGGGCCTGAGAAAACGAAGTCCAGTGCAGACTTGTGCCAGCTGTTTCCGTTACGTCAGGTGCCTCAGTCTTAGAGTGCTCTGTCACAGCTACCAAGAGTACATTCTCTGGTGCATCTGGCTCTTGGGGTAGGGGTACTTTTAAGATACTTGACAGTAAGCTCCACTGCCTTGTGATACTTGGCACATTAAGTTTAGCACTTCCTTGTGCAGTGTAGATACCAAGTTTGTCCCACAAGTAATACATTAGAGCATCAAATAGTACTATTGTGTGTATAAACCAAATAACCAAACCATTATGGAGTCACTTCTGATTCGTAGTGACCACATGGACGCAGAGTAGAACCGCTCCACTAGGTTTTCAATGCTGTGCGCTTTCAGAAGCAGGAGGCCAAGCCTGCGCTCTGAGGTGCGTTGGAACTGCCAACATCAACTTTGAGGTTCATAGTGGAGCCCTTAACTGTTGTTTGCTATCTTTAAATGTATGTTCCCCGTTCCCGAAACTGTGAACCCCATCTTACACCTTATTCTTTCCTCTACTTGCAGCCCCCACATATTGCTCTTAAGTGAGTTTGAGTTGGTGTTTCCCTGTATGTTCGTTTAATCCATTAGAGGTTCTCCTTTTTTTGCCATTATTTGCCAACACTTCTGAGTTGCTGAAAATTGTTTGCAGGTGGTAGTTCTGGAGGTCCTACCAAATGCCACAGAACAGCATTCCCCTGAGTAGTTAAGGAACTGATAGAAGAAACAGAAGTTAAAGATCAGCGGATCACTTAGGGATGGTCAGAAGTCACTTGACCTTTTGAAAGGCATTGACAACATCCTAGTAGCCTGGGAGGAGAAGACCAATGATTGTGTAAAGTGCAGTTGGAACTTTCGGGATTTGAAGAGGACACACACTGATTACAGTTATGAATTGAGAATGCACGTCCATAGGGACTGTGCTATAATGGCCCTCTGTAAAACTACTTCAGCTGATGCTTCTGTTTCCAGAAAATGGTCTCACATAAAACGGCATTTTTGTCACTAGAAATGTCAACTAGAATCTCAATGGGCTTTTGGCCCAGATACTATGCAGTGGTCTTGAGCTCATTGTTGGCTTTGGACTGGATGATCCATTTCAAGTCTGAACCTATCATGTTATGGTTTTAAGTTATATACGGAAACTCCAAGAATCTCCAGGCCTGCTTTAGTTTAATTTTGTGTGTGTATATGTGGGGCTGGGGGTGGGGGGACAGTCAATTCTGGTCTCTGTTATTTTCCCCTTTTTCCCTCCAAATAAATTCTGCTTTTCAAAAGGCTAGGTCCCAATAGCCAACTAACCTCCCTGTCACTCAGCATCTTGGACTCCAGTTGAGATGATTTGGAATGGACAGGTAAGGCTGTGAGAGTGGAGTCTGGGGTGTGTGTACCTGGCTCTTGACTGCCTATATCTACCATTCTGCAGAATAAAAATGTAGTTATTTCCAGTAGTACTGGCTGAATTGTTTGCATAAAGCCTGATTCTGGAGTTCTGGGTTTCTGATGAAAGAGAGTCCTGCCAGATTGTGTAGCTATTTTTTTTTTTTTTTTTTTCAAAGATCAGTGGCAGAGCGGCATGCCTGTCACGTCAGTCAGCTTTAGTGAAGGACCAGGCTGAATATGCATGGGCTGTGAATTCCCTCCTTCTTGGAGTCAGGGTGTTAAACTCACTCAGTAGCTGACAGTTGTGATTACAGCTAAGAGACTCCAACATGAAAGACACTGACAGTAGTAGCCAGCTGCTGAAAAAGAAACAGGAAGTAGCCAAACTAACTTCTAGCCACAGTCAAGTTTGACTCACTGAGCAGAGGAAATCAATGAGGAGAATATGAGCCATTTTCTCCTTAATCGATTTTCACTTCGAATTATTCCTTGGAGGTAGTTTGCTTTAATTTTTGTGCCTATTTGGAACTATAATGAATTTCCACAGTTACGCTGTATAAAGTGTCTCGGCAGGAGTGACATGTTCCCTACTCCTTCAGTACATGAATTCTCCTAAAATCTTTGAGGTGGAATTAGAGGTTGCTGGTAGTATCAATAAGGGATCCACACAACTGGCCCAATGCCATAGAATTATAGATGTTGTTGTTGCTGTTGTTAGGTGCCATGAAGTTGATTCTGACTCATAGTGACCCGTGTGCAACACAACAGAATACTGCCCAGTCCTGCACCATCCTCACTGTCGTCTCTGCGTTTGAGCCCATTGTTGGTGCCACTGTGTCAGTCCATCTTGTTAAGGGTCGTCCTCTTTTATTGCTGACACTCTGCCAAGCATGATGTCCTTCTCCAGGGACTGGCCCCTTCAGATGACGTGTCCAGAGTGTATATAAGGCAAAGTCTTACCATCCTGCCTCTAGGGAGTATTCCAGCTGTACTTCTTCCAAGACATGTTTGCTCATTTTTCTTGACAGTTCATAATATATCTAGTAATCTTTGCCAGCACAATAATTCAAATGTGTCAATTCTTTGTTCTTTATTCATTGTTCAGCTTTTGCATGCATATAAGGTGACTGAAAATACTGTGACTTGGTCAGGCACATCTTAGTCCTCGAAGTGACATCTTTGCTTTTTAACACTTTTAAAGAGGTCTTTTGCAACTGACTTGTCCAATGAATACGTCCTTTTATTTCTTGACTTCTACTTCCCTGGCTTGACTTGATGAAGATCAAAGATTACAGACTTTAGTATAGTTTACACCTCAACATAAAGAAAACAAAAATCCTCACAACAGGACCAGTAAGCAACATCACGACATACGGAAGAAATACTGAAATTTTCAGGGATTTCATTTTACTTGGATCCACAATCAATGTCCATGGAAGCAGCAGTCAAGAAATCAGGTGATGTATTGCACTGGGCAAATCTGTCACAAAAGACCTCTCTAAAGTCGTAAAGAGCAAAGATAACATTTTGAAAACTGAGGTGCGCCTGACCAAAGCCATGGCATTTTCAATGGCCTCATACGTATGTGAAAGCTGGACAGTGAATAAAGAAGGCCAAAGAAGAATTGATGTATTTGAGCTGTGGTTTTGGTGAAGAATGCTGAAAATCCCGTGGACTGAAATGAACAAATCTATCTTGGAAGAAGTTCAGCTGAAATGCTCCTTAGAAGTGAGAATGGCCAGACTTTGTCTCATGTACTTTGGTCATGTCACAAGGGACCAGTCCCTGGAGAAGGATGTCATGCTTAGTAAAGTGGAGGGTCAGCAGAAATGGGGGAGACCTTCTATAAAACGGATTGACACAGTGGCTGTGATGATGGCCTCAAGCTTAGCAGAGATTGTGAAGGTTGTGCAGGACCAGCTAGTGTTTTGTTCTGTTGCACACAGAGTCACATCTTTGCGCATTTCATTATAATACTTTACTCTGTCTTCTTGAACCATACTTTGAACTTTTCCGTTAATCTCTTTTACTTCTTCATTTCTTTGTGTACAGTGTTTTGTAAGCTTATTCTGAGCCTCTGTTTCTGATTTGGTTTTAAAGTGTCATTGTCAGATGTCCTGATTTTCATTTGTTGTTCCTTTTATTCCCTCTGTTTTCTTTGTCACTGGTGGTGTCTGCCGACTGACTCCCTTGTTTTTTTGTGTCTGGTGTTTTATGAGCCTTTTTACTTCATCATTTCTTCCATTTGCTTTGGATACTGTCAGTTCAAGAGCAAGTTTCTTCTGACATCAATTTTTCGTCTTTTCTTACTTTCCTGTCTTTTAATGACCTTTTGCTTTCTTCACGTATGATGTCCTTATTTCAATTTGCCTCCTACCCTCTGGCCTGCTATCTATCTAGAAGCTTTGTTTACTGCTAATTCCGTTTTCCCACAATTTCCATTTTCTAATTTCTAGCTCCAGCAAGCAGTTCCCATCTCAATGTATTGCACTTGATCTCAATAACTTACAGTTGAAGGCAAACTGTGAATGTTGTTGTTGTTGTTGTTAAGTGCCGTCGAGTCGTTTCCGACTCATAGCGATCCCATGCACAGCAGAACGAAACACTGCCCTATCCCGCGCCAGCCCCACAATTCCTGCTATACTTGAGCTCATCATTGCAGCCACCGTATCAATCCATCTCGTTGAAGGCCTCCCTCTCTTTCATTGACCCTACACCCTGCCAAGCATGACATCCTTCTCCAG